TGATTATTAATCTTCTTTGGTGGATTTCCTTATTTTTGTAAAAGCAAATGCTGTTCTAGTAGACTGTAGGGAATAAAAAGCTCTTAGCTGAGCCTTTACATCTTGAGGGAATTAATATATATACTAGAGAGGATGATATAGGTGGGTCGTAGCAGAGATTGTTGAGGGAGGGATTGTTGGGAGGATGTTGAGTGGAAGCTGTGAAGAAGATTATGAAGATGTCATTAGAGTTGATTCCTGTGCATTTCACCCTCCGTAGATTGTCTCTAATTGTATTAGGCCAGGCAGAGCAGCGTCTTTTGGGAGTCTGGGTTCCTGAGCTGTGGGGAAAACGCATTGTGGAGATAAAACTAACTTCCTTAGAATATTTTAAGAACAAAACCTAAATTTGAAAGTAACCTCTCTTACTGTAACAGCTATAATTCATATAAATTATTTTTTTAGACTTGGAAAGATGCACATTTATTGGATGATTCAGTGGCTACACCAGCAGCCTCAGAATAGTGTAAATATTTGTGACTTAATTATTTGTAGTATATAAGTATTTGGTTGCAAATATTCTGATGCCTGTCAAGCAGTGTAAATACGCACATTTGAAACAAACCCAACAAAACAATTAATGATTTTAGCAGTGTCTAGGCAAGGACAAGTTTACTTTCATACCAAAGTACATATCCTTAGAATTCTAGTGACTTCTTTTAATGCAGTTAATGCAGTATGCTTAAAATAGTGGAGTTACATTTTTCACACTAATTCCTGTGAGTTTAATTTCATGTTTGTAAATTTGCAAAATCAGAACAATTTCCAGTGACTAGTCTGATAGGTTTTATTTTCTAAATTAACACAGCAAGTGAAATAGGCCTAAATACACTATTAGAAGTATTATCTTTCCTCTATCTCAGCTTTTTGTAGTAGGAATTTGGAGTTGATTATGGCGCTTTTTCTTGATTTCCTCTTCTGTTTCTATGCAGTTTCTTTCATGTCCTATCCCTGAAACTTGTCTGCAGTCACCAGTTAGCAGAAATCAGGATAACGTTTGTATTACATTGTATAATTGCTCACTATGTGACTGAAAGATACTATAAAACACTAATTCCATTTGCACTGTGCAGAGCTTAATCATAGTGACTGCAGCACTTCCATCTCTGCTGTCAAATGAAAGCCAGCAGCAGGGGAAATAAATGCAATGCACCAGTTTCCAGTGTCTGTGCTGTGTTCCAGATTGGTAAAACTTGTATTCTAGGTACATTTAAATTCATCGCCAAGTGTGTAGTCTGCATAATTATAGCAAAGACTTACTAAAAAAATCTGAGTCTTCCTTCTGTGAATGCTTCTCCATTACACAAGCCTGACTCACTTCTCTTCAGTGAATGTGCTTTGCAATGGTTTCTAAATACCCATTCTATTACAACAGAACTGTGGGATTTTCATGCTTTTAAGTCTTGCCTGCAGAAACATTTTTAAACTTTCAACGTTACAAATTGACTCCTGTCTAGAAGGAATTTTGAATCTTGCACTTTATGATGGAAGTACTGAAGGAAGTTTGCATGCTCTTCTCTGAGACAAACCCTTTAAATTTGATCTTTGTCTGTATTTTCAGGTAACTGAGCTGAATGAGCCTCTCTCAAATGAGGATAGAAACCTGCTGTCTGTAGCCTACAAGAATGTAGTTGGAGCTAGACGATCTTCCTGGCGTGTCATCAGCAGCATAGAGCAGAAGACTATGGCAGATGGGAATGAGAAGAAGCTGGAGAAGGTTAAAGCCTATAGGGAGAAGATAGAAAAGGAGCTTGAGACAGTCTGCAATGATGTTTTGGCTCTCCTAGATAAGTACTTGATCAAGAACTGCAATGACTTCCAGTATGAGAGCAAGGTCTTTTATCTGAAAATGAAAGGGGATTACTACCGCTATTTGGCAGAAGTAGCTGCTGGAGAGAAGAAGAACAGTGTTGTGGAAGCCTCAGAAGCTGCCTATAAAGAGGCTTTTGAAATCAGCAAAGAGCACATGCAGCCCACTCACCCAATTAGGCTTGGGCTGGCACTCAATTTCTCAGTGTTCTACTATGAAATCCAGAATGCTCCTGAGCAGGCCTGCCTTTTAGCCAAACAAGCCTTTGATGATGCCATAGCAGAGCTGGACACACTAAATGAGGATTCCTACAAGGACTCCACTCTCATCATGCAGTTACTTCGAGATAACCTCACTCTGTGGACGAGCGACCAGCAAGATGAAGAAGCAGGAGAGGGCAATAATTAAAAAGCTTTCCTCTAATCCCTCTTTCATCCACTTCACCATCCCCATCATCACCAATATTTCCTTGCCACAGTCACACTAAATATCTAGTGCTAAGCATATCTGTATTGTACAGCTGTTCAGATCTGCTGTCCACTTTATCAAGAAGCAGTTTCAGATGAGTCTTCATGGGCATTGATGGATTGATTGGTTTATTGGCCCTATTTATCTTAGTTGCACTTGGACAGTGCAGAAAGATGCATAGTAAATGAGGCATATTTAGTTTGCCAGTTGATTGGAAAATCTGGGAAAGAATAATGGAAAACGATTGAAGATGATTAGATTCCAGTTAAAATTTTTTTCCATTTGAAATGAGCTGACAGTTCTGTTAAGCAGTACATTTTGTGCATGCAAAGTAAATTAGCCATCCCAAATTTTTTTCAGTCAATGAAAACAGTTAAGCTGACGTGAAATGACAACCCTGTTCATCAGTTTACAATAAACTGTTTGAAATGTGAGGTTTCAGTAGCAATTTGGGTTTTTTTGCCTCTAACTTATGTGCACAGTTTCTTTTAATGCGGTGCATCTGCCTAAGAGTTTTGATACTTGTAACCTTTTGCAGTTGTTTTGAAGAATCATGAATTTATTTTTTGTAAACTCTTTGGCTGTTTAGTTGTCTGTGTATTCTGACAACACTATGTCAATATTAGCCCATGTTAAGATGGATGACTGAGATGCCCGACTTCTAAATTAAATGTTTTGGAATTAAATGAATAAAATAAAATGCTGCTTTGGGGATGTTATCTCTACTTAAGCTGTCCTGTCTTTTGTTCAGAGCAGAGATTCGAGTTACCTAACACATCACTGATGGGTTAAAACACATCTAATAAAAAAATTTAATAAGAAGTTGCCTCACATGCTAAAAAACCCAAAACAACCCCCCCCAACCCCACCCTAGTATGCTGAAAAGAAGAAGGAAAAAAAAAAACAAAACCACAAACCCAAACACCCACAGCCATCTAGAGTGTAATATTGCTCACCTATGTTAGAGTGGGGTTTCCAAAGGTGTAAGTAGTTTTATGCTTGGTAAAGCAATTGTAATACAATTTTGCTCAGGAGCTGAAAAGTTATAAAGAACATTACTTGTCATACCAACGTAGAGACGTGTATTTACTTCTGTCTGCTGGAGCTTCTAAACTTTTTTTTTTCTAAAGTGCTAACCGCCAAATCACCTTTACACATGAAAATCCCGGTTACTTTATTTACCCACTTCAAACAGAAGCAGTATTTGTTCTTAAAATGCCTCTATTTTAGCTAACTTAAGTGTAGTCCCCAAGTTTGTGTTGTGGTGGGTTTTTTTTCCCCTCCCAACAGTTAGTGTATATGTATATTTATTGGTTGTGTACATACTTCTGTAATGGTATGTTACAGAAGTAGGAAAAGTTATCTGTTGTATGTTGCTGTATCCAGACTGCTGCTTGGCATCTGAGCTAGCTCGAGGATCATGTAAGTTCTCATTTATCTAAATCTGTTTTTCTTTGATTTGTGCAATAAATATTACTGGTCTGGATACCCATAACAACTACTCAGACTTCTTAAAAGCAGTGAACTGGTTATTTTTTAAGTATCTGGAGGATTAGAATTTTTAATGGTAGATTTGTGTGTATTTATATGTTCTATCATCTTCTAGGTAATTCTAGCTTTATTACATCGGTAAAGTTGGCAACAATTGAAAGACTAATCCAACATCTGAAAAAGACGAAAATACAGATCCGTGATGTGCTATTGTATAATCTTGAGGTGCTTGACCTCCTAAAGTAGTTTGAAGTGTGTACTTAATATAAATTTCTACTGTCTGCCAGGGCCTATTCTGGAAGTCACTTTTTCTTTGCTCCCATTTCATCAAACAGTATACAAGTCCCTGTTTTTCAGTTCCCCTTTTTGCAAGTAAGCCTTGCAGGAGTCTTGTGACCAGTAATATCCATTTGGGCTTTACCTGTCTCCCAGATTCCTACAGCTTCTCTTCCTTTCCTTCTTCTCAGATCTGCTTACCTGCCCCTGTGGAACCAAGGTAAAACTTGGCAATAAGATTGCCTTTTTACATTGAAACACTCTGGCTGGTTAATACTATTGGCAATTGCTAGGTTTATTTTCTTCCTGTTTATAGAAGTCCCACTATCTTTTTGTTAATTCAAAAGCTAAGGAATCCTTTCTCATTTTAGTTACTGTCTTGTGCAGACCCTTCGACACAAAACTATGAGCATTCTGTAGTCTGCAAGTGAGTCAGCAGGTCTCTGGCATCTCTGGGCTAGGCAGTTGAAGATTAGCTATTGGCCTGGTGCATAAACATCCAAAATGGAGACCAAAGGGATTCTGTAGAATGGTGCAGTTCCTGGGTGCTTTAATAATTTCTGGTAGGAAAGTTTATAAAGTGTACCAATCAGGTGGTTGTGGTTATCTGTATTGCTATTAATCTGGGTAAACCTTTGGTGGGTATCATAAAGTATGAAATTCTATTTTGAAATAGCTTACTGATGCTACTCTGCTGGAAGGGTGGATTCCCTTCTCCCGGGCAGTATAAATTTCAGTGGATAAATCTCTTATAGCCATAACTATCAACAGATAAGAAGATAGTTGCATATTAGGAAGCTATGTGAAAAGTTGCAGTTCCTTCATTGTCTCTTGAGGAATTGCTATCATGTCACACATTCCCTCGGGTTGACTGAAGGCATTCTGACAATTCATGAATGTAGAAGCCCTCAGAATGATCCTGGAGGGGATGGAAAATTAGGAATGCTAACAGTGGGGTATTGCATACTGGACTTGGTATGCTTGCTCTGTCTAAAGGTGATGGATACTTCAAAACTATCTGAGCTTTGTACCCAGGTATCAGGATCTAACAGCATAAGTAGACATGGTTGGAAAGTAGCAATGGCCTTCTAAGAATTTCATACCTTGTGCCAGGATCTTCAGAGGAACTATCCCAAAGAATTAGGAATAGCTAGAGCTTCCTGATTGAATGTCCTGACATAAAACTCACCAAAATGACATAAAGTTTGTCAGTGGACTGTCAAATGCAGGCAGCTTATTATTAAGTGCTCCTAGCAAAGTAGAATTTGGTGAACAGGAAAAGTCTCAAGTTTATAGATTAACTTCCTCTGAAACATGGAAGAGTTGAAAATCGTCATGAGGAAGAGCTGACAGGTTCTGTTTTCCTGTAAGTGGTGGCAAGTGTTTGTGCTGGGCCACCTGTGGTTTTAAGATTATTCAAACTACAATCTCAGTATACCTGAGCAATGATCAAGTTCTTTTGAGGGTGATGAACTTAAAGGCAGGTGAGTGATAATAATTTGGGTGTATTCAAGTAACTCTGTTGCAGGTCACAATCACAGAAGTAGTTCTGGCTTCTTTAAAACTGTGGAAAGACTGACTGTACTTAGGTGTACCCTTATTTTGTGTGACCTGCCTTTTAGCTTTGTAGCAGTGGATACTTCCCTGAGGACAAAGTGAATTAATCTTCAAATCTGTACTTTTTTTCAGGAAATTCATTAAATATAAATATCTTACTGCTCTGGATACTCTGTGGCATAAAAAGCATTTCTGTCCTTGTTAGGAGTTCATAAACCAAGTGTTGACAGACACAGTTGCTCTGCATAAGTTGATGACCACTCATCTAATGAGTCTTAGGAAGCCTTCCAAGTCAAATTCTTTCACCTGCTTCTGCCACTAGCAGTGTAACTGTATATTAGATTTTCAGTAGGAGAGCAGATACTTCTCCAGTGTTCTCCAGTTGTCAGTGAATGACCCAATGGCACAGAGAGCATGTTTTTGTGATTGCTTTTAGCTAGGAGTCAGTAGAGAGTGTTATATAGAGCAAGAAAAAGAAATGCTCCGATACAATCCATATTTTTGCTTCTACATCAGAAGCTTTTTCATTTTCTGGGCCCTGGGATTGCTATATGCTTTTTTGTAATCCTTACTGTGGTAGTGATCTGCAGAAAACGGAAGCAGATGAATAGCACGTGTTGTTTGTTGTCATATTCTTCAGTGGACCATAGGATTCAGGTATTTTGGAATTGGTATTTCTCTTAGGTGACCCCCAAGTCATGTCTTCTGTATCACAGTCTCTAAAATAAATAAAATCCTAGGCTACACCCAACGTATTGTTTGAAGACACCAGATATATTCACCAAAAGTGCTTAGTTGAAATTCACAACATTCTTTGAAGCAGGAGTAATTCCAATGGAAAGACTTAAAATTGAGTGACTTCCCCCCACTCCTGGGAGCTTTCTTTGCATTGCCTTATTTCAGGCATAGTAGGATGCTCGCTAATCTTGACACGGTGAGGGTTACGTTGGTTAAATAAGGGTCCACCTGAGCATTGCTCTCATCCAGAACCAATCTTTACCATGCCTTTCACAAGCAAACTTTGTTGAAAGGTTAAGACACTCTGAGGGTGTCGATATAATATTACCAAGCTATATGGGTACCATTGAATTTTTAGCAACCTGATAGCTGCTAACAGTAAAGCAGCATTTTATGTGATACTATATGAGCTTGAAAGCTAAGGGTTAGTCAGACCTTAATAGTGTGGTCTTTATAGGGACAGAGATACTTTCAGTCTATGTCCTAATCTGCTCAAATATGTTCAAATTCTATTTAAACAATTGCATTCATCTCTTAAGAGTGCACATGCACAGACCCCCTTCTGAACCCCACACCAGAATAAAATGTGCCAATGCTATGGGAAACTAAAATCCTTAGGCTGTCTGTAATAAGGGGCTTATTATACAATGTAAGTGGTAGCACTGAAGAACGCTGACTTTTTAGGCAAGCAGAAACCTTAAGAAGAGTAATGAGATTGAGATCTCCATGGATAACAGACATCAAAAAACCACAGTTGCTCTGGTAAGTAAGCATTTTTTCTAGTGACTACTTTGGTATAACTACAGTTTTGAAAATGGTTTTTCCATGTTGCCTTTCCTTCATATATAACTTCTGTTTATGGTTTTCCATCCTTAATTTTTGCGCTTGTGCCCTAAATCTGTAAGTTGGATGGACTGACTTCTAGAGCCAAATGTGTTTCCACAGGAGCACGACGGTACTTCCTGACCTACTCCCTTGGCTTCTTTCAGCAGCTGCAATAGGCTGCTATATAGTAATCTAGAAAAAAATTATGGTAGTACACTTCAGGTTGAGGGAAATGAAAGACTGGTTGTATTTTAAGTCATACATGAGAATGACTTAAGAATAATAATGAAAGTCAGAAGGGTGAAAAACAATGTCAATATACATTATAAAATACTCTCTGTCAGCATGGGACCAACCTGAAATCCTTCAACAAACCATTTTGAGTTTAAGGACAGAGAAAACAGGAACAATATTTCAATGCTTTGGATTCTTGTTTTTTAATCCTATCCACACTATGTAGTTGAACTAATTTAACATAGCTGCCCAAGAAAAATTAACTAGAAAACAGTGTAACAACATGAAAAAACTTGTTGGATATGTTTTAAGTTCATTGAAGAATCTCATTGGAATCAGTGGCACTTTTTGAAGAGTGTGAAGTTAGTTATACACATAATTGGTAGAGGATGTTTAGATCTTGTTCTGAAGAAACCCAAAGTACTTGAAGTTTCACATAGATGCAGATAGTTTAATTTCTGAGTCTTAATGATTTCTGAGATAAATGAAGATGTATTCCGAAGACTGAGGTCAGGCCAGTTAGATTTTTAATTAGTGTCAGAAAATGAGCTGTTAGAAATAAAGTAAGCCGGGCTTCCAACTTCCTTTACGTGCATGCCCCCAA